CTTTGTTGCAAATATATAGTGGTGGAAGAAGAGTTGGAAGAACCAATATCCTGTCATTTCTTTCTTACCATAAGCAGTACAAAGAAGCACAAGTTATAAGCAAGTAAAATCTTGTAACATTTTTTACCACCTCGACAAATCATTAATAATTTCAAAAACTTGAAGAAGAGTTGGCCGAAAAAATAGATCTTGAATCCTCGGCACTGGCTCTTTTATGACAACAAATGATAAATTGCATTCAAAAAACAGGTGTGAAGTGGTTTCAACAAAAAAATGACAGAGATGGCATAAGCAATCCACCATAATGTTTCTTTTCAAAAGTGCATCTAAGGTTCTTAACCCACTCAAAATGGCCATCCAACAGTAAGTAGAGAAACGAAGTGCATGACATTTATGCTAAATAAACCGCCGGTTTTAACCACAGTTTTTAATAATAAACAGCCGAATATACCGCCGGTTTTTTATTTGGGTGTCGCATATTACTGGCGGTTTGGCCGCCAGTGATAAGTGAATTTTTCCGGTGGTCCGAATTGCCAGAAATTGACCTAAAATTTGCCATCCGGCCCTTCCTCCTCATTTCTTCATGTTCTTGTTTTTCGTCCAGACACTCGCTGCTCTCGCCCTCTCCTCCGACTGCGTTGGCAGGACTCCGGCCACTGACGCCCTCACTCCGGCCTGCGAATGACCCGAAGGTGATCTCCGTGCATTTACTTTTTTTTAGTCATGGATGTTCTCACTCGACATTTTTTATAGTTTTGACCGCCGAAATTTACCGGTTGTTCTAGCCGTCAGAAAAATTAGCCGCTGGAAAATGGTCGACGCAACTTGTTTCCTACACGGTTAATACCGGCGGTGCACGAACCGCCTGGAAACTGCCGCTAATTTTTAAAACCGTCGAATAGTCATCTAAACAGCCGGAAAGTACCGTCGGTAATTGACGATTTTCCTATAGTGAAACACTGAGCAACTAGAAATAATGATGATAAAGACAAACATGTCATCCAGGCAACAGAAAATGAAAATTAATCATCCATAGGCATGTGCGGATAACAATAATAACATAGACCTGTCCCTCTCCAAGAAGTAAAGTTTGATGACCAACAGTACCATATAAACCAGGAAGAGTAATCCCTTTACCCAAAGTTAGAGCAGATATAGAATCACATCCCTATTTTTCCATTTTGTGATTTTGAGGAAGACAACTTTTTTAACTTTGTTGCAAATATATAGTGGTGGAAGAAGAGTTGGAAGAACCAATATCCTGTCATTTCTTTCTCACCATAAGCAGTACAGAGAAGCACAAGTTATAAGCAAGTAAAATCTTGTAACATATTTTACCACCTCTACAAATCATTTATAATTTCAAAAACTTGAAGAAGAGTTGGCCAAAAAAATAGATCTTGAATCCTCAGCACTAGCTCTTTTATGACAACAAATGATAAATTGCATTCAAAAAACAGGTGTGAAGTGGTTTCAACAAAAAAATGACAGAGATGGCACAAGCAATCCACCATAATGTTTCTTTTCAAAAGTGCATCTAAGGTTCTTAACCCCACCCAAAATGGCCATCCAACAGTAAGTAGAGAAACGAAGTGCATGACATTTATGCTAAATAAACCGTCGATTTTAACCACGGTTTTTAATAATAAACAGCTGGATATACCGCCGGTTTTTTGTTTGGGTGTTGCATATTACTGGCGGTTTGGCCGCCAGTGATAAGTGAATTTTTCCGGTGGTCCAAATTGCCAGAAATTGACCTAAAATTGTCCATCCAGCCCTTCCTCCTCATTCTTGTTTTTCGTCCAGACACTCGCTGCTCTCGCCCTCTCCTCCGACTGCGTTGGCAGGACTCCGGCCGCTGACGCCCTCACTCCGGCCTGCAAATGACTCGAAGGTGATCTCCGTGCATTTACTTTTTTTTTTTAGTCATGGATGTTCTCACTCGACATTTTTAATAGTTTTGACCGCCGAAATTTATCTGCTGTTCTAGCCGTCAGAAAAATTAGCCGCTGGAAAATGGTCGACGCAACTTGTTTCCTATTGGTGTACGAATCGCCTGGAAACTGCCGCTAACTTTTAAAACCGTTGAATAGTCATTTAAATCGCCGGAAAGTACCGTCGGTAATTGACGATTTTCCTATAGTGAAACACCAAGCAATTAGAAATAATGATGATAAAGACAAACATGTCATCCAGGCAACAGAAAATGAAAATTAATCATCCATAGGCATGTGCAGATAACAATAATAACATAGACATGTTCCTCTCCAAGAAGTAAAGTTTGATGACCAACAGTACCATATAACCCAGGAGGAGTAATTCCTTTACCCAAAGTTAGAACAGATATAGAATCATATCACTATTTTTTCATTTTGTGATTTTGAGGAAGACATCTTTTTTAACTTTGTTGCAAATATATAGTGGTGGAAGAAGAGTTGGAAGAACCAATATCCTGTCATTTCTTTCTCACCATAAGCAGTACAGAGAAGCACAAGTTATAAGCAAGTAAAATCTTGTAACATTTTTTACCACCTCGACAAATCATTAATAATTTCAAAAACTTGAAGAGTTGGCCGAAAAAATAGATCTTGAATCCTCGGCACTAGCTCTTTTATGACAACAAATGATAAATTGCATTCAAAAAACAGGTGTGAAGTGGTTTCAACAAAAAAATGACAGAGATGGCATAAGCAATCCACCATAATGTTTCTTTTCAAAAGTGCATCTAAGGTTCTTAACCCACCCAAAATGGCCATCCAACCGTAAGTAGAGAAACGAAGTGCATGACATTTATGCTAAATAAATCTATATCAAGTAGGGGAGATTTCACTGTGGGAGTAATTGCTTAAAAATCTCTTTTAAAGTTATCATCCTCATAATGCTCCCAAAAACAAGTAGAGAGTTAACATTGCTAATAAAATTTTGAGAAAGAGCATTAATCAAGGAAGTAGTAGGAGCTAAGTGAATAATTAATCACATTTATTTAAGCTAAAATTTTATTTTAATAAGTGATTAGCTTAATTAAGAGGTTGACACAGATATTATCTTGGCACATTAATATTTTGTAATTATGGCTTCATAAAAATATTATAAAGAAAATAAGTTTTTAATGTTGTTGTAGAAAGTAGTTTCCTAGTATAACATTTTTTAAAACTATTAAAAGGTAGTGGTCAAATAAAAATTGTGATTATCATCTAAAAAACAAAGTAATAAGAAAGCTGTCCCAAAAGAATTCTTTAAAGAGGCTTTATTGTAAAAAAAAAAATTAACTGAAAATTTTTTTACTAGAAAGTTGTTTTAGAAAGCAGTAAGAAAGTTGCCTCAAACTAAACTTAAATATTAAAAAGTTTATTAAATTTAGATTAAATCTGAGAAACATAAATTTTATAGAGAATAAAAAGTATGAATTAATTAAACATAAAAATAATATATTGACCAGTCATTCGAAAAAGGCTTTAAATAAATGATAGTTAATTGTATATATAAAATATTTATTTATTTAAATATTAAATAAATTTGAATAAAATCTTAAATAAAAATTATATAAATAAATAAAATTGAACATTGATTCGTTTATTTATTTATGGTCATAAGAGCATTTATTTTTTTATTTAATAAATAGCTTGTTAAAAATTTCATAAATAATGCTTTTTAATGTTTGAGTGAGAATTTAGAAAAAAGTATATGTAATAATGTGTTAATTTGTTAAGTAGTTATATTATTTGAATGTTATGAATGTAATTATCTCCGTTTAAAAACTTTTAATATGAAATATACTTAAAATATATTAGCATTCAAAAGTATAAATTAGAAAATTATTAAAAATTATTTAAAAATTATATTTCTTTCTATTTTATTTTATTTTTTTTCATTTTATTATAACAATTGTTGGAATCAAAATCATTTTTCTTTTTCATAATAATGAGCTCACCCGAACTAATAGAATTAAGTTCGAGCTCAAGCTTCTAACTCTATTAATCAATCAAGCTCAAATTCAAGACAATTTTGACTCGAGCTTAGCTTGACTTGACTCATTTACACCTTTATTATCAAGTTAGGGCTTCCTTTGGGGCTATTTTAAATTATTTTGGGTAATAAAATCTTCAATAAAAATAGTATATAAATAAAAATTTTCTATGGTTTTTTAATGATAAAAATATTTTAAAATATATATTTTTATATGATTGAAGGAGAATGCTATTTCTCTAAGATCACAAATTCAAGTCACATATTTTATGAATCATTGCTCATTATTCTACAAAAAAAATTATAATTTGAATAACTTTTAAAATATATATAATTGCAAGGGCTCTTCATTTTACAAATAATAACAAAAGATTCTTACAACTACCATCCATGAAATGAGGTGTTAATAAACAATTATAGAGAAATTAATCCATGATTTACTTATAATATAGCCATTAGCTTATGCTTTTATATTAGAACAATGGTAATGTTTTTATTTATATCAAAATAGCAGAATATGAAGGGCCTAAATTCATTAATATACATAATTGTCATCCTCGCCACCAATTTCAACTTATAATTGAAAATAAAAAAATAATAATAACAATTGAATTTTACCAAATGATATATTAATTTATTTTCATTCTGCAATATGAAGTATCCCACAATATATAAAAAAAACACATACTTTTCAACACAGTATAAAAAAAGATACATGAGAAGCACAACATTTAAGTCCCCACAAAACAAAGAAGCAAACACACAAACATGTGTGATATCTCATATGTTATCATCACACTCGTGTGTGTGTCTCTGTGTGTGATCAAATTCAAGATATTGATAATAACTTTCAAGATCTTTGTCAATTGGACTAACCAACACCTACGTGTGGAGAAATTATTTTATGCAGTCACCGGAAGGTACAGAGGTGAATCATGATGTGCCACGTCGCCCGGTACACATAAAAAAAATTACATGGCGCTTCATGATTCGCATCTGGACGCCGTCCGGTGACCGCACAAAATAATTTCTCCTACGTGTGATATCTCATATGTTATCACCACACACTCATGGGTGTGTTTGTGCACGATCAAATTCAAGATGTTGATAATAACTTCTAAGATCTTTATCAATTGGACTGTCTGCCACCCACTACTATCACATAAAATTCATGCAAAATATAAATTTAAGACTATATGAATTACATGTGTATAAATCTATTTTAAATCAGCTGTCAAACACTAACAAATGGAAAGTAAAGATGAAGGAAGGAAGTGAAGGGAGCAAACATTATGATTCATGATTTGGAAATATAATAAAATATTAAAGTATATATGTATGTAGTTGTAGGAGTTGTTGATGGGCACGTGCAAGTGGAGATCTGTGTGACCTATGATGGGGCTTGAGGCTCAAAGGGCTTCAAGTTATATGAATCAGAAGACAGATTGTGAGAGCAAAAAATAGTGTTAGCAAATGGTATTGGCAATATGTAGAAGGCTTTATTAAGCTTGAGGAATTGTGTTGCAGATTCAATATTCTTTTCCATTAGCTTCTTCACTTGCAGTTCATTCTTTTCATTGGAGTACATCATCTCCCACATTTGATGCTTGGTTCCTTGAATTCCGCCGGCATCCTCTTGGAGCTACAAGTATTTAACATATTATTAGGCATTGTATGTTAAGCGTAAAGGAAGATATGTTATGAAAATAGCAATGAGCAAAAATATGAAGGGCGAGAAATCAAATCACACAAACACAAATGCACAAAATATTTTTGATTTGGTGAGATTCACTTGCATCAATGATCACGTAGAAATCGAATAATCAACTAAGCTTTAAAGAAGGGTATAGATCGATATATCACTTTGTTTACTTCAAAAAAATCTAAATACAGATGATATATTACTTGGTTTAATATATATGATTGGATGTAAACAAGATGATGTTATTGTTGTTATAATTACTATATTTATCAAGTGCAAGAGGCCAGATTAGAACTTCTCTCAATTATGGATAAAAGCTTCTCCTCATGCTAGAACTAAAATGATAAGTTGATAACACAGCCTCCCTCTTGAAGAAACAAAATCTTCTCCTTTCTTACTCCCACCTCTTAATTTCTCTTTTTCCTTTTCATTTGCTTGTTAATTTTCTTAACTTCATAGAATAATTAATTGTAGATTTAGGTTTTGTTTGAGACGTCTTGCTTCTTAAAACAACATTCTAGTACAAAAAATTTAATTTTTGTACAAAAAAGTTTCTTTAAGAAGCAGTAAGAAAGTCGTCCCAAACAACTTTCTATATAAACTTTTGATGGCCATCACAAGGTTTTTCAAGTTTTAGGACAATGACAAAAGCAACCTTAAAGCATGGTTCTCATCATAGAACTTGATATTCATGGAGCTTCACTATCTCGTGATTGATTTAATTTGTTGAAGTGATTGGTGACTAAGGCTTCGTTTGGGACGGCTTTCTTCATGCTTATTAACTCGATTTTTTAGTATAAAAATTAAAATATATGTGCTAGAAAGCTGCTTTAAGAAGCAATAAGAAAGCAGTCCCAAGTGAAGCCTAAAGCGCCTTATGGCATATTGAGATCAGAAAAGTTCTTTTTCATATGTATTGTTTTAACTGATTACACGTTAATTATAGAAAGTTTGTGAAAAGGACAAATATACCACTTTGCCTACATCAATGGCTTAGAGAGAATTGAAGAAGATATTGTTGTTGTTGCAATTACTCTATTCATTTATGTTTTGCCAGGGCACAAATGAGAGCTTTTTACTACTATGACTAGATGAAATGAAAAACAATAGCACCTCCTCCCTCTTGAGGAATCCAAAGACCTCCACCAGAAGCACTAAAAACACCTCCATTTCTCTCTAAGTTTGCATCCCCCTCCCACATCTCTCTCCCTCTCACTCACTCTCCTCTTCATTGTTTTGTTGTGGTATGTCAAACTCCTAGAGAGTTCAAATGCAGAGGCAGCCTTCTTTCAATGAACAAATATCCTCTTTAAGCATCACATAACTTTATTAAAATGCAGAGGCAGCCTGAGGTAGACCATTTTTTGGATTAGGTTTGCTGAAACAACAGACCAATTGCTTCTACAATCAGCTAATGCAGACACCAGACACTAAGGCATCGTTTGGGACAACTTTTGTATTGCTTAATAAAATAGAGTTTTAGTACAAAATTTTTTTGAAAAAAAAAATTGTACTAAAACTCTGCTTTATAAAGCAGTAAGAAAGCTGTTCCAAACGAAGCCTAATTCTACATGCAAAAATGCAAAGTCAAATGTTTCTTAGGTTTTGTTTCAGAATATTTCTTTGTTGGTTTGTATTTTAAAAATCAAGTATTTATCAAATTTCATTTAAGAAAAGGATCGAATTAGTTTCTAACCTTTTATGAAGGATAAATAGTCCCCAATTATATAAAAGTATTAATTTGATCTATTAACTCTTTAAAAAGTGACCAAATTAGTCCTTCCGTAGGATCATTTAGCTCTCCATTTGAAATATTAAAGGACTAAAATGGAACTTTTGAATAGTCAGAGATCATTTTGATCCTTCGTAAATAGTTAATGGATCATTTTGGTACTTAACTCATTTTGATTTTTATGGGAAACATACAAAACAAAGTACTGTGCTGCAAAACTAAAAACAAAAATTTTACAAAGCAACTCATTCATCCATGTTAAAGAAACAATAACTTAATTTCATACAGCATAACTAAACAAAATCTTACTTTTGTTTTATCTTTTACTCATTCCAGCTTCCTAAAATCCCTTTTTTTAATAAAAAATAGCCAAAGTCATTGCTTAATTTGATAATAATAAGCATAAAATCAACAGACATTCAGATACAGATATGAGCAAGCTTTGCTATCAATTAACCATAGTAAGCCATCAAAGATGCATAGCAAGACATTACAGACTAAGGAAACTGCAGAAAAACATTAAGAAAACTGAAGCTTTTCTGTAACAAAATAAGCCCAGAAAAGAAAAAAAAAACCTGTAATTACCTTGATTAATTGAAGAGGTGCGTCTGCTATAATTTGTGCCAAAGCACTGGCAAGATCAACTGTTCTCATACTTAGAACCTGCAATTTCATAAATGTAGCAAACTTAGAATGAAACAAAATACTGAAATAATGAAAGAACAGAGGACACTCAACCTCAATAGTTGCAAACTTCATCCCAGAATGGTTTTCCAGATTGAAGAACTTAATCCCAGAACTGTTTCAGAAGAGTAAACCAAAGAAGCCCATAAGAACAAGAAGAAATTTCTATTCAGTTTAGCATTTTTGCACCTTAAACACGAAGATAGAAGAGTTAAGTCACTCGTGGCATCTTATCTTAGCACTGCAGCCTGTAACTTTCAGCTTTGCAATAATTGCTTATAGCTGCTTTTGTATAGGAGAACCAATTATAAAAAAAAAAATATTCTAACTTCTAACACTATTATTTGGACCGAATAATATAAAGAAGAAAAGTGCTATTGGTTTGGGGAAGTGATGAGATATGTTGAAGCAATCAGATTTGCAGAAGCATGATGAGTTGTTGATGATAGTAATAGAAAGTATCAATTCCTGGGGTTAAAATCAAAGCAGTTATATTTTATAGCTTTGGAACCAAATATGCAAAGTCAGAGCCACATGAGCTATAAATTTCAATTGATCATGATGTATGACAAATCTGAAACAGTTCCATGGGAACGTGATAGTTGGTATAAAGCAGGTAGAGTTGTTGGGTTGGTAGAGGTTTGGTGTAAAAGTAAACTTTGTGTTTTATTACCATTTAATATGTTGGGAAGTGTGAACCAAAGGAGGAAGAGAGTTTAAGCCAATGGGAGAGAGCGAAAAGCTTGATATTTCTATACCAATATATTATTTTGACTATCAAATAAGAGATTGAACTAAGCAGCTTTTGGAAAGTACTTTTTTGTTGCTTTTAAGAGATTTTTATGCTAAAAATTTGCTTTAAAATGCAAAAAGAAAACTATTTTAAAGGAAGCCTCTATACTCTTTATGTTATTTAACAAGTCTACCCTCATAGAAGAGCTCTCCACATTGGTCATCACTCCCCTCAAGGAAGAACAATATCCAATGAACCATATCATTCGGTTTACCTATACGCCCTAGCAAGTATACTCTACAAGCATGTTGTGACTCAGATTGGGCTGGAGACCCTGTGGACCGAAAATCTACCACAAGATATTGTGCTTATCTTAGAAATAATTTGATATCTTAGCAAGTTAAGAAACAAAAAACTATTGCAAGGTCCTCCACTGAGGCCAAATATTGTGCCTTAGCCGCCGCTGCCACTGATATGATTTGGTTGAGACAACTTTTACAAGAATCTCATATTTCTCTTTCTTTATCCATTGATTTATATTGTGACAATGTTTCAGCCCACTAAACCACATGAATCCATGGTGGGAATTGCCTGCTTTTTGAACGTTGATCAACCATGATGTAACAATAGTATGCAAGGAGGAGCCTAAACCGCATGAATCACTCGATCCCAACCAAACTATTTCTTCTCATTTGTTTTAAATTGTGTACCCAAGGTACATAAATGTTGGACTAGAACCACCAATGGTCAAACCCAATATTAACACAAAATCTAAAACTTATAGGTAAAGATCAATCACTTGATGTTAATTTCAATACCAATATATTCTTCAACTATCAAATATGAGACTAAATCTAAGCTCACATGACTCCAAAATTTATTTTAGAATCAATACAAGATTTATCAAACAATGATTGCATCACTGTCACCGCTGAGATCGATGATTCTTTTCCATTTCATCAAGCTATTGAAAAGTTATAAGAGTGACTCCATCATACAATATGGTTTGCTTTATGAGCCCCTTTTAAAATTCTTTTGAGATTATAATTAAACTAAATGTTAGTGTAATATTTCATAAATCACTTTTATTGATAATTTGAGCCATTAGTGTGAAACTTAGCATCAATCTTGTTGTATGCTGGAACATTTACAGTGGTAGAGACATATAGAGTTTAATGTCTTATGAAGATCCAACTCATACACAAATATGAGAAGAGTGCAAGAATTGTGAGAGTCACCATACTTATTATGTGGAAAACCAAGGAAAGGGATAAAACTTAAGGTTTGAGCCAAATAAAATGATTCCACTAGTATTTGAATTTGATTACAAGTGAAGTCCTTCCTTGGGAGAAGGCATTGATACACTGCAAAAAACACATTAGTTGATTGAAGTTAGAAGAACCCTGTGCCATGAATCCAACACAAATACAAGTATTGGAATTGGGAGTTAGAAATGACGTCAATTGCGTGCATTGATCATATAAGTGACAACGTATGTCGGCATTATTAGTGATTGTAGGTAATGAAGTCAATAAGCGTCAGAGTAGTCATGCAGTAATGAGCAGAATATTGTAGGTCAATGCTTAGGTTTTTTTTAGTAAAAAATTATAAAAATTTCACTTAATATACGTAAGTATACATGCAAAATCAAGTGATATAATGATAGAGTAGAGTATCGTTCTCACAATGAATAAATGCTCACTTGAAAATACTAGCTACTATCTAGTAAAATTATAATAATTATCTTATTTAATAAAAATGAATATTATGGAAATTCAATCACTTAAATAAAATTTGATAAAGATAATGAATACACAATATGGATAAAATATTTTGATTTGATGAATATAACTAATATATTTTTTCTAAGGAATCTCTTTAATTGTGATGTTGTTAATAGCATATGCATCCTTAAATTTCTGTCGAGCCTATAGGGACAAAAAATGTCCACCAACTTTCTATGGTTATATCATCTCCTTAAGAATTTAGTACATTTTATATCCTATGCCTAAGTATGCAACATACTAATTCAATATTCCTGGCCATACCTGCTTATCTCCATCGAGGCTCCACATTACACCTAATTTTAACTATACATATGGTCATTATGTGCATTAAATTAAGATCATGTAATATTAAAAATATCATTTTAATAATTTAAATAATAAGAGAACTCATTAGTACTATATATGATATTTACATCATCAATTCAAAATTAGAAAATATAGTCAGATATGGAGTATAATTAAAGCAAACTCATTTTCATTGATAGTATGATATAAAGAAAATACAAGAGATAGATATTACCAGAATGATTCAATAGACATCTTATACACTTCTTAATTTTACTTACATAATTACTTCCACAAATATAAGTCAAACACTATAATGATGGTATTAAGAGCTTCCCTAAATTCTCTTAGTTGTCATCCTAAAGGAAATTCAGAGAAGCACTCTGAATTATACTGAAATTATTTATGTGACTGAATTCCTCTATAAATATAACACAATGACTATTTATAGCAGGGAAACACAAAGTAGGCATCTGGCTCTATGGCATTTGAAAGATCAATGCCATTGCGCTCGATAAATGAACTTACTCCGCCTTACTATTATTTTGGCTCTGCAGCAGCGCTTGCTGACGTGGATTAGTTACTTAGTGAAAAGTCACGTCGTTTCACTGACAGGTTGTGTCCTTTGGAAGTTACAACTGCTATGTCGCAGCGATGCTAATGTTCGAATGCTGCGGCATCAGAATGACAATTTTGCATCGAGGCATGATAGATTATGACGCTATGGCGCTTGAAGACAGAGATCATGATGCTTCAATGTTGATCATTTTGATGTCACGGCGTGTCCGCCTGAGAATGAAGTTGGCATCGCCATATCAAAATTGTTGCGCTCCAATTGTGCCTTTGATGGCATTGCAACGTTGTTTTGTCTAATTCTACGATGCTAGATGAGACTTAGAATTTTGTGTCTTTTTGTATTTTTTTCTGCACAACACAACTAAAATAATATATTTTCACTGAAAATATAACACATAAAATAATAACTTATTTATACTTTTCAGTTATGTTTTATAATATCTGAAGCAATCAGTACATTTAGCAAAGGTGTGCTTGCAATTAGTTTTTGTGTCATTTGTTGCTAATCATGATTTATCTATAGGATGTACCTGATATCAAAGGAGACCAAAAGTTTGGTGTTCATTCATTAGCAACACATCTACTTCAAAAGTAGGTTAATTATTAATAAAATCTCTTTAATTTAATTGATGATGAAATAATTTTTGTTCAATTATATTGATCCATTATTTTGATTGTATCACATGTTTTGGCTTTGTGCCTACCTACTATAGATGATTTACATTTTTGCAACTACTCAATAATTGGTTTACAACTGCATTATCTAGATTGTAATTTTTTTTTCTTGAGATCTCTATTAAGTTTAATATGATGAAAATAACTTTGGATAAAACATTGATATTGATCCATATAGTTCTCTCTTCAATCCTTTGGAAGCAAGTGAGTCAATGGATTTAAATAATGAATCAGTAATAACACCTTTTACATGTTAATTTGAAAAGTAAAAAGTTCTTTATGATACAAGATGAGTACACAATTGGCTATTTCCCCTTCTAATTTGCTAAATATTCACATTTTCCTCTTCTTTTCAGGTTATTTTGCATCTTTTCTTTGTTGGATAGTTATTTTAATTGTGTGATGAGAAATAGGGTACAGGCTGTAGAATGTTTGGTACAAGTATATTTTCAATGCTAATTTAAAGATGAGAATCTGAACTATTATTACAATAAAATATTTATTTCCTTAAAGATCATAAGAAGTGAGTATCTTTTCCTTCACTTTCTAATATGATCCATACATTTTTTATTTTGTGCATCCTAACGGTTTTAAGTTCAAAATTTGTAAATACTTTTGGATACAACATTTATTTATCATTTTTCTTGCGCTTCTATTATTTAATGTACATTTTCCCTCTATATTTGTCATGTTTATTTTATATTTTTAGGATTTCATAGATATTGATCTTCTTCAACATAAATTTTTATGTACAACTAACAAACTATTGATGTCACTATTAATAAGATTTCTTTCATCGTGTTAACTCTTAAAAGCCTTTGAGATATATTGGCCATTTCTTTCATATCTAGGATGATAACTGAGGTGGTCTCGCCATTGGCAATTTGTATGCAATTTTAGGTTTAGAAGCAATTGGCAATCATATATGCATTGCTTCTAGGATAATAATAGTATAGAATCTAATTGAACTAAGAGAAGCAAAACCAAATACTTTCTATTTGTAAGAGCTATTTAGGGAGTTGATTTTGTTTTTTACTTGCTTTGCCTTTTTTCCATTTTATGTTTTTGTGTTTGTATGCATCTTTCTTTTTATTTGATCAACATAGCTTATATTATTCAAATGAAAATCCTATAGCACTCTTTTCTTCTCTTCTAATAGAAGCAATGCATATATGATTGGTTTCTCCTCTATATGCTTAATTGTTAGTTATTATTGATGAGTTATCATTGGACAATGAGATTCTATTATGAGTTACATTCTAGAAAGTAAGGTAAGATGAGCTAGATGGTATGCAGGACAATTATGGTTGCTCTAATCTATTTTCATATTAGTTATAGACTTTTAATTTCAACAGCCCTTGGCTTTGCAACTTCCACCTTAGGTGCACCCATCACTTGAGTCAGGGTATGTTGACACCGCCTAATCAATTTCTTCGACTAGTAGGAGAGAGCAATTTGCCACTCACCCTCTGAGTTAGGAGAGACGGTCTTAGGATGACATTTGCAATGAATCACAATGTCACATTAATATCTTCTCATATTACATGCTCTATGATGACAAAAAGGCGAGCACCAAAGTTGTATATGAAGTCCGTTGAATATATTTATCATCATCATTAGTATGGAAAATACAAAATGGTGTGAAGCTAATCTCGATCATTGATGTAATCCTACTATATATATCAAGAAGCACCTTGGTCACTCCATAACAAATTTGGGCTATGAACAAAATCAAATTGTGCAATCAATTTTTCATTTCATGATTAAGGCTTCATTTGAGATAGTTTTCTTACTATTTAAAAGTAGCTTTCTATAATTTTTCATTTCATGATTAAGGCTTCATTTGAGATAGCTTTCTTACTATTTAAAAGTAGCTTTCTACTACCATTTTTTTTTTTTGAATTAGAAATTTTTATACTAGAAAGTTGTTTTAGAAAACAGTAAGAAAGTTGTCCTAAACAAAACATAAATGATATGCCATACATGATATTAGGATGCAAAAAGTTTAAAAAACTTGCATTTTTAAGTAGCTACCATGAGATTCATTTTCAACCTAGGGTTGAATAAAAAAATTTGTCTTAAAAGGATATATGTTTTATTTTTCATTTCATTTGGTTTGTCTGATGTTCCTAATACATTCATGCTCATTTTGACCTATATGCGAAGTTCATTCCTTGAAAAATTCTTATAGATTATTTTGATGATATCATGGATTTTAGGATTATTGAAACGGATCATTTATAACACCTCAAACATGTGATAAATAGTATCTGCATTTGAAAAATTGTGCCTTTATGCAATTATAATCTCTAAGGCTGATGAATTATTGACCCTATCAAGATAAAAGATGTTGTAGTTAGGTCACAACCATAATCAATCATGGAGGTGCTTGACTTTCAAAGATTAGCTACATTACTTATAAATTTGTAAAAATCTTTGTTGAGTGCTAGAAAATTTATGACGATGGAGAGAATTTTATATCCTAGATTTGCATGAAGATCGAGCACACACAAATATATAAAGGATAAAAATATAGGAGATACTAAATTTTTATGTTAAAAACTCGTAAAAAGAAAAAGTTATAGGACTTGACCGAATTAAAATAATCCATTATGTTTTTTAAGTTACAATGGTTTGTTCTTCCCCACAACTGGAGAAGATGGAATTACAAAGTTATGAGCGCATGTTTGATCTTCTATAGTTGTAGCAAAGATTGTGAGAGGATAAGTAAAAAATGATGACTACATTCTGACGATGTTAATAAGGTAATGATAGTTGGACAACAGTCAGATAATAGTGGTTGTGCGACATCAACAATATCATATCAATTGGTTGATGGTGAATGGACTATGATAGTCGCATGACGATTGACAAATCATGTTAGTATGCTAATGATAGCTAATTAAAAGACAGTAGTCGGGCATGGTCAGCCCAATGAAGGTAGTCTTACGACAACAATGACTGACAATGATTATCAGCATCAAACATTAGATAGAGCCCTAGAGTTTTTCAAATCTCTGGGCTATCTCTAATCTAGAATTTAGGTCTACGTTATGTAAATAATAGAGATCTATTTATAGTTTTTTGAGAGTAACATTTTGAAAAATCTAGTTGAAATTTCATAACACTCCATTGGATGGTCCGTATTGAATTAATTAAAGACTATTTGTAACATTAAGTGTCTTAAAAATCTCATAATCAATTAATTTTGGGCTCGTTGGATTCATCTCATCAAGCTGATCGATTTTACTATAAGCATACATGTTTAGGAGATAATTAAAAATTTAGTCATTGATTTAAGGTCACCATGGCAAAAAATTCTCCAATTGTAGGATTTTAAAAGATTTTAGATATAACCCAATGATATACTTTAGTGAAAATTTAAATCTTGTAAAATAACTGGCTATGCATGCCAAATGGATATGTCTTTGTTGTTCAACCCAAAATGGAGCCCTTATAAGCTATTTTCTCCGTTCTTGGGGGTGAGCTTGCAAAAGATATGTTTTGTCTTAAGTGGAGTCCTCGTGAACTATCCCAATTCAAAATTCAACGCCAAAAAGGATAGGACAAATACCTTTCGACCTGATTTTTAGTCAAAAGAAAGATGCCTTCATTATAGTACAATTATAATAAAAGTGTTCGAATCAAATGGTTAGCCAAAATAAGAAAAATATATAAAATGGTGCCATTATAGTAGGAGGTGTCAATATTTGACACGACACAAAAATTCGACTTGAACTTGACCCGAAAATTTTGGGTTAGGGTCAACCCGAACCTGAAACGGGGTCAGGGTCGGGTTCAACAATTTGACCAGTTTTAAAAATCGGGGCAATTTCGGGTTGACCCTTTGACCCGAAAACTCGTTTTTGACCAAACAACCTGAGATTGACCCTTTTTTTTTACCCGAAAAGTGGATATTGGTCCGTTTTTTTATCTGAAAACTAGTAATTTTTTGTTGTCACTAGGTCATTTGGGTCATGTTGGGTTGATCCAGACCCGAAGCGGGTCTGGTTCGGATCCGGAAAACCGATCCGTTTGCAAAAATGGGTCGAGCTCATGTTGTACCAAATAGTGTCGGATCAGTTTCGGGTTCGATCCGAATCCGACCCGTGACCTGAAATTGATACCCCTACATTATAGCATGATTATTGCCAATATTTACATGTTCTCTAGAGCTTCTTGTCATGCGTAATGCATATAATAAAACAAAAAAATGCCCTCTTTCTGAAGCACTTTTTTAATAATTTTTTTATTTTATTTTTTTATGCTAAAAAATTGCTTTAGGAAGCAATAAAAAGCCGTCCCAAATGAAACATAAATCATGTTCAAACTTGTTTGAACAAATATCTGGTCATTATTCGAATACATTTGAACAATTATTTAATCATAGTTTGAATAATATTGGGGAAGAGCTCGCTGGCTGTGAAGGTAACTTTCTACCTTTCGCGCGCTTCTTCGGCCAAATCCCATAAATCCGCCGAACTGAGGGATTTAGTACATCCGGGATTTAAGCCGTAAATCCTTTAATCCGGGATTTACCCATCGCCGGGATTTAATGCGCGCACAAAAACTGTTTGGCTGGATTTAGCGTAAATCCGACTTAAATCCCGCTGTGAATCGGATACGAAACAGCCCCTATAAATGGAGGGCCACTCCGGTGCCACCGTCCGCTCTCGGAATTCTCAATCCCCATCACCCTCGCACTCAGCTTCCGCCTCCGCTTCCAGTTCCGTTCACCACAAGCGAAAGTTCCAGGCGACGACGGCTGCAGCTGCACCTTTTTCCCTCTCCGACACTGGTGCCCTCACCTCTAATGACGACCTCGACAGTATCAGCGCAAGGGAAGAGGAGGAGGATGACACCGATGAAGAGGACGAAGACGATGACGAGGACGAGGAGGAAGAGGAGGAGGACAACGACTCCATGAGGGCATTTACTGCCGCGCGTCTAGACACTCACAACAACGCGGGCGGTGGTGGTGGGAACTCCAGAAGTAGCACCAAACCACCGAAGCCTGATGGCTTACAGGTGAAGGTTGAATCTGCCTCTGCTGGTGTGGCGCTGGAGAGTGCGAAGGAAGAGCGTGTTGCAGCGGGACTGTCAGCTCAGCAGAATGTTGGCAATGCTGGTTTGATACCGGGCATTGTGGTGAAGGATGATACTGTGAATGGAATCTTCACGGAGAATATACAAACGAGTGGTGCTTACAGTGCCAGAGAGGAGGGGCTCAAGAGGGAGGTGCTGTTTTTCTTAATCTTTGTCTGCTTTCTAGTTTATTTGTAGTTATGTTTTATGGCTTTTCGAATCAGGAGGATATTTCTATTTTTAGTATAATTCTAATTTCTATTGATTGAAGTTCAATTTTCCTATCAGTATGTGGCTGGAATTTGGACTTGCTGCGTAATCTCATGAGATTGATCAGGCTTTGATTATTTGATTGCAGTGGTGGTTATGGAGTATGATTTTGGGACTGCATGATTGCCAATTCATAAGTTATTGAACCTTATTGAATTTTTTAGGTTTGACGTCTCTTATTGTTATTTGCATGTTGATTTTGGCTTTTTATGTCATTCATTTTCCATTTTTAAGGAGAGTTTCATCGTATCAACTTCTTCACAGAAATTGTTATGGGTTTTTTTTTTTTTGGTGTTATACCTTGAATATAGCCTATCAACACCTTACTATTTTAGTCGAATGTAGGAACACAATAATAGGGAAATATGCAGCAAAAACGAAACATGTAAGATTATCTCACATGCTTTTACCGTACAATTTTGATATGGTAGTCCAGTTGCACCCCATGTTTATAATATTACGATAATCATCTGCAACATCTATATTGCACTATTAAAAAGACGATTGACACTACGTAGAAGAAGTCCTAGGCATTCATACATTTTAGATATTATAAAATCCGAAGGAGAATTTATATTTTATAAAATCTCATAAAGTATTTAGAAGAATTTGTTGATTTCCAAGTTTAAAAATAAGGAAGGAATTATTAGAATTAATGCTACCTTAATTTTAAATTTGCAAGAGGATGTACCCTAGTGTATGCTTTTTGCTGATGATATTCTTCTTGTTGATAGGACGGAGAGAGAGTTGAAGGAAAACTTGAATTATGGAGTTCATCCTTAGAGTCTAAAGGTTTTCGTTTGAGTATATCTAAAATCAAATACATAGAGTGTAATTTTAGTAGTAATAGATCTAGTGGAAGGATTGTGATTATGGGAAATCAAGTCATTACAAAGAGTATACATTTTAGATACATCGGTTCTATTGTTCAAAGTGATGGTGAAGTAGATGGGGATATTATTAGTAGAATTCAAGTTGGTTGGTTGAAGTGGAGGAATGATTCGGGTCCGTTGTGTGATAAGAAAATATCCCTCAAACTTAAGGGAAAATTCTATCATTTCTATAGGATGGTGGTGAGACTTGCAATGCTTTATGGTGCAAAATGTTGGCCATTAAAAGTGTTGCAGAGATGAGGATGCTCAGGTGCATGAGTAGCTTTACTCTTAGAGACAAAATGTGAAACTAATATATAAGTGAAAATGTTGGAGTAGCTCTAATGGTAGATAAGATTAGAGAGAGTGTTTGGGTCATATTCAATTCGTTTTATGTTTATCGAGCTTTAGACAAATAAGCCTTATCGAGTTATAAACGGGCTCTACTTCAAGATGTCATTGGCTTAACAAACGAGCTTTATCAAGCTTACTAACAAACAATTACAACAAGCATGTTTGCAAACATATCTACTGTTCATTTTCGAACAACCAAATTAGCCTGTTCATGAACATATTATTGAGTGTTATTAAGCTACCAAACGAGCCTGTTCGCAAATATATCTAACGAGGGTTTTCGAACTATCAAACAAGTCCGTTCACGAGCATATCTAGCGAGTGTTTTCGAGCTATCAAACGAGTTCGTGAAATATAACTAAATAATATTATAAAATAGAAATAGTTGTAATTAAATTATACATAATATCGATTTAATATATATTTATAATTTATTTTAATTAATATATACCATAACATTTAATTAATTTTAAAATTTATTAATTAATATTATTATATCATTATATTAGAATAAATATAAAATATTTATATTATGTATGTTCATCATTTTTATGATCAAACATTAATCATATTTTAAAGAGCCTATTCACAAGCTTTGCATTAAACAAGAATTGAGTTTCATGTCAGGCTTGTTTATGAGCTTTAAATGATGTTGTTCAAGAACATAAATTAGCCGAATTCACTGTTGTTCAAGTTTGTTTATTTAAGCATCAAGTATTTAAAAGAATGTTCAAACTTGTTTGCTTAGTTAATTAAATGATGAAGGACGAGTTTTAATTGAGCTGAGCCTCGAGTAGCTTATCGAACGCTCGGTTCGTTTGTAGCCCTATTTGTGTGTGCCAGGGCAACTGGTGGGTGTAGACCCACTTTGGGGTTTGTTAAATAGGATTCCTGTGAACTCTTTCTGGCATGAATCTAAAAATCATGTGCGAATGGTGTGGTAGCATTGGCTAGAATGCTTGGGGATTTCTTTCACTAAGCATTCATTGTTGTCTTTGGTGCTACAATTAAGATTGCTTTGTTTGACACTACAATTAAACTTTAGGGGCGCTGCAGCAACCATTCAGTTGCCACAACACCTGTACTTCTGCTGTGGGCATAGTGGGAAATCCATAATTTGGCAGTTGGCTAGAAGGAAAGCCATCACCCCACCTTTCTTTGAACCCAAACGCCACAAGTGGCGTGGAAGTGTGTTGGTCCAGATCCCGCCTAGATTGCTGTCCTTGAATAGGCATTGAATTAATGATCACAGTGCTTTTCTCGTTTAGTTTCTCATGTTAGTATTATAATAAAATTGATTTGCTTGATTTTCTGTCTAGGAAGATGCTGGAAAGCTTAAATTCCTGTGCTATGCAAATGATGGTGTAGATGAACATATGATATGGTATGGCTTTATTCTTTTTCTTTTTAAACAGCAATATCTTGGCAACAATTGTCCTTTGATGTACTCATTTGTAAGCATTGTGGCCGTGTAAAAGCTTAAAGTGGTTTCTTGATACTAGTTTGATCTCGTGTTATTTGCTCATCAGCTTCTGGTTTTTCCAGGCTCATAGGGTTGAAGAATATATTTGCTCGGCAACTTCCAAATATGCCCAAGGAATACATTGTCCGTCTTGTTATGGATAGGTAATTATTGAGATTTATTTTCCTGCACCGTCATAAACTGTCATTTTGTTTATTGAATAGTTGTATTGGATTGTGGGGATCATTCATCTTCCTATTAGTTTCATGGACGTGCATTTGATTTTTATGAAAAAAACCTTTGGTGTTATACTCGCATTTGTAACTTGAGCACTCACCTTCAATTCTAGATGCTCGCATAAACATAGACAGTTTTGATCGCTTTTCTTTGAGTGTTTTGGCTAACTTCCTAAAAATTTTGAATAACAGACTTTTTACTTGATGCCTTAATATGTCAAAGCTTCATTGTTGTAGAAGTCCTCCTTTGTCTACTTTTTTTATCATTCATTGTGTAGGTCTTTGTGAACGAATGCAAATATGCGTGTCGTTGAATTTTGGTGATGGTTGTCATCAGCTAAGAAGAAGTTTACACATAAGTTGAATTAAAAAACTATGATGTTCTTGTTGTAACTGCCGTCATCTTCGTTATCCTTATCTATATATCTCAAAAATGATGAGTATATATCAAGATTTAATGATAATAATTTGACTATAGGTGTAAATTAAGGTATTTAATTCATAAGTAGCTTGGAAGTATGAATAAAGGCTAAAGGAAATTAATGAATGAAAATGAAAAAGATGAAAAAGCCTTAACCCTAGAGGTATAAAAATGATAGGGAGTTATAAGTGGTTATTTGTGTTAGTAGTTAATATTAGTTCTATTAATTATAATAGTTAAACTATGTGATGTCTTTGTAAGTTTTTAAATACCTCTTCTTTAGGAGTATTAGGGCATCAATAAAAATGAACTAAGCTCCCTTTGTTCTGACATTCTCTTCTTCCCCCTTCTCAGCCTTGCATTTAATGGTGTCTTTGGCGAACTTGAATCATCATTTACCCTTCTTTCCATTGTATTCTGGTAGATCGTGCAATTAGAATGAATTAAGCTCCCTTTGCTTTAATATTCTCTTCTTCTCCCTTCTCGGCCTTGCATTTTATGGAGTTTTTGGCTAACTTGAATTGTCATTTACTTTTCTTTTCATTGTATTCTGGCAGATCGAGCAATGAGTTTGTATCAATTGGTGCTCTCAGTGAGCCTCTTGCCAGGCGCTGCCTCTGATCTCTACCTCCATCTTTTGGATATCCCATTTCTCGTATGAGTCCTATTTCTCATCATTATCTCTGTTAAAATTGATTGTTCCACATCTTGTAAACTCACAATCTTCACTATCTTCACCATCACAGATCTCCATCATATCTCAAGAAAAAAAAGGAGAAATCTAGTCTAGAGCCCGCATCCTCATCTCAGCTTATTCATTCGCTTCAAGTACGATAGATCTCACATTTACATCTTCATTCCCAATTCCATTTTTATATACTAGCATATTCACTTCAGCTTTGGTATGAAAAGATCAAATCACAATTCTATGTTAGCTTCATCCACTGCAGAATGTCATAAGTAATCTGTATTCCAATGCTCATGATAAATGTCCTTAGAGTCTCTTGTAGTAGTGACAATGGTGCCACATCGCCTCGATAGTGTTTAACAAAAATTGGTACAGTTTTGAAAGTTTATATGCTACATCAATTGGAGACGAACTAGGCCTGAAGCAAACTTTAAGTAAAACTTGATGCCAAAATGTTGAAGATATGCCCCCAATACAAAATCACATTATCAAGATTTAGGCCGCACCTCATAAATTTTTAGTTTGATGATCAATGGCAGAAGCTTTATGATGGACCATTAAGTAATGACAAATATTTTCTCAAGCTCATTTTGTGATTCATACGGGAATCAGGGCATTATCTCATGCTCCACCAATCAATTTTATATTGCCTGCAATTGCTGTATGAGATACTCCTAAGTCCTAACATTCCCAAAATGACTCCAATCATATTGTAGCAATTGCAGGACCCCTAGGAACAACTTAAGAATGGTTCCCCCCACATTGTCACAAACAATCGTTGAAATGGTGTGGCTTGACATACACTACCTCCTACAATTGGCTCTACATACACTACCTCCTACTATTTTGCCTATGATTCTATCTACTTATCTTGATATGAAAATATTGCTATGGCTCTTCACTTGAATTTGCTTTACCTTGTTATGTGATTTGATCATGAGGGCTAGGTCGATTTGAAGGGGATGGTAATGGTAGGGATTTGTAAGATGTTATATGGATCTATAGTTAATGGTAGTCCTACTAATTGTAATACGGTAGAGTGTTATGTTTGTTAATTGTTAGCTAATTTTGTCCATATAAATTGTTAAATATATCATCTTTGGGAGTATTAGGCCATAATGAAAATGATCTAAGCCCCCTTGCTCTGAGATTTCTTCTTCCCCATCTCAACCTTGCATTTTCTAGAGTCCTGGCAAGCTTGGATCCTTGTTTATCTTTTTATCTAGTGTATTCTGGTAGGTTTTACTGCAGGTTTGAATCAACAAAATGCAAGAGATAAATTTGCCATTTTTTGCATATCCTTGAATGCCGAAGTTGTTTTTCTATCTGTCTCTAATTTTGACAATATTGTGAATCATCAATTGATGGTTTAAATTGGCTAGACATAATGCCGCCAGTTTTCTTCAAACTTCACACCTGGAGTTAATAACTGCGCGCATCTAGGTAAGTGAATTTCATTTATCTAAGCAATTTTTATACGTCATGTTATTATGGAGGAGAGAGAATAAGACAACTCGTGCATTCTAGGGTTATAGTCTGCTGAAAACAACTTAAAAGATCGCCAAAATTTAGCTTGAGGACCTTCATAATCTTTATGTAATGAATCTTGAACAACCTGGAATCCATTCAATGTAAAGTTCTGTTTTTTAACGCTACAGCTTACTTAACGTTAGTCCTAACATACCTTATGTTGGTATTTTCCATTATCCTGCGTAATCTTGTGTTTTTGTATAGGATAGCTTCCATAATTAATAGGGACTTTCTATTCTTTCTGCGTGGAGCACGTTCAATTATCTTGATTCATTATCCTAACAGCATCATTTTAATTTTTTGAAAAATCAGTGGAAGGAAAATTCATATAACAGCCTCCTTGCAATTTACCCAACTAAGAAAAATGATAAGGATGACTAAGGGGTCCAAATGACCTGCTTCTGCAGTTGTAGACTTGAAGTCCTGCATTGCTTTTCCCTGACTTGGAAGGATTTGACTCCGAAAAATATTGTTGTCGGTTGTCTGAAATTCTTCTTAAATAAAAAAAAGAACCGAACCAAGCTTCAAATGTAATATGTGGCTTTTCATCATAAAGCATGTTAGACTCTACTGTTTGTTTCAATTGATTTGATAATATGTTCTGTAATTGACAACAAGTTTCCTTTTCCTCCTTTAAGCTCCATCCTGGGTAAAATTATTTAGAGGCCAACTTTTGCTTTCCACATCATTAAGGCTTCTTCTCCATGCATTCTTCTTTGGAGGTTGAATGCCTATGTGGCAGTACCGATTGAAATGCCATAATTGGGGTTTTGCATCTTTAAGAGACAAGAAAACCCCCCAAGATGGCAGCCTTGAAACATTCCTTATGATAGGAGAAATGACAAATTGGTAACTGGTGGGGGCAGAAGAATGTGTGACCTGTGATCTCATTTCCATTCTACAAAATATGGAGGCTTCCATGAATTTTATATTCCTTGACACTGTATATTGACTTGATGTCGCATATCAACGTATAGTTTAAAGTTTAATTTCTGAATCTTGTTTTCCTTATGCGTGACTTTCTGATTGTTGATGATGTTGCAGACAATGTTTTTTATAGGCCTTATTTCTTTTCCAATATAGTTTATGCTTTGATGCCAACCTTCAGAATGCTGCGTGAGTTTAAATAAAAATTTCTGCAGAAGCCACAAGTCCATGATGGTTATCAGGCTTAATCAGGTTGTCGGGGGCATAACTTACCGGCCATATCTTAGGTATCATATTATGGTTGTTGCTCATCCTTTTTCTTCTGCTTTAAATATAGGTTATGCTGTATTTTTTTTAATTTTGGACTCTCTCTCTCACTCTCACATATTATTTGATCAACAGAGTCTTTGTAGAAAGAATTTGTTGTTACCTGATCAACAATATGCATGCAGAAATTTTCATTTATTATTATAGACAATTAGACATTTGACAACATGCTTCTGCTCACATGATGGTTTTTTCTCTAAAGCTATTTTTTGTATAATGGTCGCTCTCATTTATTTATTACAGTGATTTTTTATGGTTTTGTAATCTTTCTTCTAGATTTTTTGAGTCAGATAGTTCCATCAATTTATCAATGTATTCTATCATGTTTTATTGTATCCAAATATATCTCGGTATGAGGCATATAAATTCTGTGCATCGAGAGGCTCCACCATTGCTTTCTCTTTATTCTTCAGTTTTTGACTTTTCAAGCTGAAACTTTTCTGTGGTTCAATTTAATATATTAAAATCTTAGGTCTGTAAAGACACTTTATAAGTTTTCGCTGGAAGTCATATTTATTTTATTTCATTTTGAATTAGCTAGTACACTCTTGCTTAGTAAGAAGATGGATATATTCCTTTACTATATTAGTTTCCGTATCACTTGTATCTTTTTTTGGAATCACAAAAGAAGATTTGACTACTTGCCCATCTGAAAAATCTTTCAAATGTAGTTATTCAAATTTATTTTGTAAAAGAATTGATTTGATTGCTTATTTAGAGTGAAGGGAGTTCAATTTATATTCAGAAAGGGCGTAATTCTTGTTTTATGCATACTGCTTTTAACCATATTTGTTGGTTGTGGATTATCTTTTAAGAAAAAAACCGTTCCACAGATAATTATCACAATGCAAGAACAATTAACTCTGGAACTTTTTTTTTCCTGTTCGTTGGCATCTTTTGGAAAATCTAACTTTTATTCATTTAGTGAAGCTCTGATGTTTATTTTTGACAGGCTTTAGAGCTTTCTTACTCATTAAATTACAAATTCAGGGATGTGATTGATGCATTCTTTGTCAATAGTTTTTAATCGATGTGTCACTGTATCGGTTATACCAAACCATATGTTGGCCCTGAGTGGGCTTATATTCATTATTTAGTGGAAGTTTGCAAGGTAGCACGCCAATCCTGTTTGCACTCCTATGCAAGAACTCTCCTATCCCCGCTACTGAAAATATTGAGCCTAATGAAGAAAGCTGATGCGGGACACCGCCGACGCCGACCGGCAGAGGGAGGGCCGAAGACCCCGCGGCGCGCGGAAGCAGCCGGAACGGGCGAAGTCAGTTCTTAAAAGTCAAAGGGTTATCTGTTTGACCCACCAAGATACTGAATGCCAGAAGAATATTTCCAAGCCTGCAAGCTTTAACCTACCAAATTGGAAAAGTATAAGTTCCTCATCAAGTTGAAGTTTCTACCATCATTATGCCTCCCGCTTAATGTAGATTTGCATGAAGCACCAACTTCCACTGCATTGCTTACTTATCAAGAAGATGAAGGAATGACCCATCGGGCATCAGCTTATTCTCCACCATTGTTTAAAATTGCACTATATGAGGCTCACCTTAAGGTCCACCTCAGCACAATTCTAGTGAAAAGAGCCTCGAGCTTTTTTTATGAGGCTTGCTTGCCTTGAGGCGCGCCTCGCCTCGCTGGCGTGAGGCATATGCCTCATTATATATATATATATTATAAATTACTTAAATCCTAAACTAAAGCCCCGAATAAATCATGCCTTCATGCACTCCTAAACTGTAACAACTTCCTCTTAAATGCCTCAACCTCCAGTCTGTTGCCTTTGCTTTAGCCACCACCGTCGTAGCCATTGCCAGGGATCACTTGAAAGTTGCATACCACCACCACCTCCTCCTTTAAAATTTTTGGATTATTACTCTTATCTTTATGTTGATAAATATTTATGAAAAAGTAAGATGACTAAAATAAATGAAGTAGATTAAGAGACATTGAACTCCACAATATGAGGTAAGAGAGAGGCCAATTTGTTATGATGATGATTCAAATAAAGATCCCCTTAGTGATGACAGTGCAGATGATTTTTGAGTTGTTGTTAATTATTTCAACTTTTTTTATGAATTAAATGTGGATGTGTTGTGAACTAAGAAAGAAGGAATTTGGAGTTAAACTTGATTAATGAGGAAAATTCGATGAAAAAACAAGATTTTTGTCGAATTTTCGGTGAATTTCCGAACGATGGTAATTCGCGCGTCGGTAAACCGGCACTGAACGAACCGACGAAATTTACGTCGGAATTGCCGTCGTTATATTACCATCATAATATCCGTCGATGCATGCGCCGTTTTTCCCGGCGTATTTACTTCCGCCGGAAGCTCTGACTGTAATCGAAGGTTTTCCTGTAGTGGATGTTATATGATACTTTTATTCAATTCTCATATTTTATGTTATTTTGATCTGCTCTTGTAATATTTTGATTTCAATTTTACTTCTTACCATTTATCACTTGTAATTTTACGTCTTGCGCAATTTTTTGTTTTATATGCATGTCAATTTGTTACTTCATAGTTCAATAGAAAGTTAATATATCATCGTTTAACATATTATTTGGGCATTATATAAAAATTACTTTTAACCTTTATTTTCATTTTACATTATTTTTGTATTTTGAGGCTTATGCCTCAAAACGCCTTGAGGCTCAACGCCTCGCCTCACGAATGACAAACGTCTTAATATCCAATTGCATAATTTTAAACCTTGCTCTCCACCCGATGGCTTCTAAAATATCATATCAAAGTTCTATAATTTAATAGCTTGTGCTGTTGAAGTCTTGACGTGTGAATATTGTCAACAACAACAACAACAACAACAACAACAACATCAAGCCTTTATCCCACTACGTGGGGTCGGCTACATGAATCCTTTTTCTCCATCGTGTCCTATTAAAAGTCAAATTCTCGTTTAAATCTAATAAAGAAAGATCATTCATAATATTTTCTAACAATGTCTTTTTAGGTCTACCCCTACCTTTCTTAACATAAGTCAAATCTAATACCTCTACTCTCCTAACCGTGTGAATATTGTCAACGATGCAAATTTTATTCCTTTATGGTGTAAAGTTTGGATAGAGAAACAAAAAATAAGCTCTATCACCCTCATTTATTGTGGTTGTTGCTCGTTCGGTCTTTGTTGATCCCTCCATAAAGAATGTTACTCGATGGTAAATAGAGAGGAGCTAGCTTGTGTTTGTTGCCCAAAATCAATGGAAAACTTTGCATGCTGCTTAACTTGATGGGAGGTTAGGCTTCATTTGATGTGTTTTTTCCCACTTCTTGCTACTAATAAAGAATTAGATATGTCTAACTAGAGTTGTCAATCATTTATCAATAAATTAAATGATATAAGATTTATGAAATATTAATACCCAATGTTGGACTAATAATAAGAAGGCATGTAGTGTGAAACTTCTTAAGTAAAAAGAAGCTAAACTCTTAAACATCGAAGCGCATGTTGGTGTAATTGTTGGAATTTCATTAAGAAACTCCGTAGTTAAGCGTGCTCATTCCAAAAAAAATTTGGGATGAGTGACCTCCTGGGAAGTTACACCAATAAGACAAAATCCGGAGAAATCCTTAAAGATATTGATGAGGATGTCAGCTACTTAAGTGTGTGAGATTGTGAAACGCTTTAAGTAAAAAGAAGCTAGACTCTTAAAAATCAAGGCGCCTTTTGGTGTAATGGTTAGAATTTCATTAAGAAACTCCGCAGTTAAGCGTGCTCATCCCGGAGAAATCCTGGGATGGGTGACCTCCTGGGAAGTTATTCCAACATGATAAAATCATGAGGTCCTGAAGGCTAAAGAGAACAATATCTCGATATTTAAGAGTTTGAGCTGTTACATGTAGCCAAGAAGACTCCATCAATTTGACTTAGTTAACCTGCCTCTCTTCTCTTATACCTTATGTGTGTGACATTTGTGCTAAAGCGAGCATAACAACTTGGTGGTCTCTATAACATCGATCAAGGCGACATTCTTGATATATATATATATATATATATATATACTATGTGGTGATTACATGTCACTTCCAAAATGCGCATGTCAATTGAGAGAATTTGCCTATGATGTTTGCCCAATTGATCTCTCCTTGAAGTCCAATGGAACTTTCATCACCTGGCTCACTCAAAAGTAGCTAGAATAGGCCCACTAAGAGCTATGATATGTCATTATGTTTATTCTATCAATGAAACTTATTTTAGAGTGTCTGCATATATCAGTAGTTGTTACCATATGTCCCCTTGTGTTACCATGCACATTAATTAAATAATTTATAACTTGCAATTACAACCAAACATTTTATAAACTATTTAAAAATTCCTTGAAAATTGGAGAAGTTACAAAAATGCTCTCTGATTTCATAAAAAAATATAAGAAAATTAAGTAAAAAACACAATGGTCCTTATTGCAGAAGATATATATTTTCTAATTTCACCACTTAGTTTTAAGGTTTTTAAAATGCTCAAATTATCCCTAAGATTCATTTAAAATTGGAAAATTCATATTTATATGGAAAGTTTATAAAAATTCCAAAATAGTCCTATAAAATTGAAAGTAACGTCCTTGGCCTCTAAGCAATATGATTGATTGATATTCAACCTAAAGTTTTACCCTTCATTCACATTTCTTTTGAAAAGCAAGTTAAAACACTAAATCTTCTCACAGGGTGGATGATGTATCATTAAGCTATGATGGTATAGCCCATTCAGTGATAAATGTGCCTATATTTGATAGTTACGTTATTTTATTGAAAAACATGAGAATACACTAGTGGACTTGAAATGGCCAACTTGCAAAAAGGCCATATTGGTTCCCATAAAGGAATTAAAGTGTCATAATGGCTCCTCGAAGAAATTAAAGTATCCATACGTTTATTATGGGGTGGCAAATTGATCTTAGAAATTGGTTTTAGGGTTTGATGGCCAAGTTGCCTTTATGTTTATGATTTCCAAAACATTATAATACTTTCACATGGAAACTTAAAAAACATATTAGCATATCTTCAAGCCATTCAATATAAGATGAATTTGCCTTTGAGCATTCTTTGCAAAATTATTTGATGGCCATGATTCTCAAATTTGGGCCAACTGAATCAACCAACATAGCCAAGAACTTATGTTTTAATTCGCCGCCTCTCAATTAATTGAAAGGTCTTGTTTGGACCTTTCATTGATGTACATGGTGATGTACTCCATACTTTTGAAGTACTTTGAGAATTATGCGAAGGCACCTGTGCACGCCCTAGAGTAAGCCTCCAACCCAAGGGATGATACAAAAAATTTAATGACTTCTGAACTACATGGGTTTCAAGTCATCTCATTTAGTGAACAATTCAAAATTAAATTGATTTTGCGTACACATTCCTTTTTTATGGTAGAAAAGGTTTGCCTTTATGGCTTTATTAGATTGAATCTACTATGCTACACCGTTGTGCCATTATCGGTCTTAAGTTAATACCTTTGAATTTGGTCAGGCATGTTTCATGGTTTTTAGCCTTTCAATCTACATGGCATGACAATCCTTTGCTAACAAAGTAAATTAAGATTATAACACAACAATTTATGCTCTTAGCTTATTCCAACAAAGCAAATAAAGGTTTTATACATAACTTTGTGCCCTTCTCATAATGTCACCCCTTGATCCACTTTAGATGAGTTTCCCATGGTTGCTAATAAGACACCCATTGGACAGAGCTAGGGTTTCCAGATTTAATATTTGTAGCTAAAATTAACAACTTTCAACTTGAAGTTATGACAACCAACATTTCTATCTCTTTGAATTGAAGTCTACTGGTGAAATCATGTGATCTTGACAAATATTTACCCTCACATATATTTCTCATGCACGTAGCAAAATAGTAATATAATTATGCAAATGTTTGTGAAGTTTTTTGAGCGATCTTAACAAAAATTCTCCCTCACATACAAAAGTATTGAATTCCAAATCTAAAACCTTTATCAATATCATTGTAAATCTTGTTATAGTAATTCCAGTCTGTCGCATGAGAAATTCTTGTGTTCACACGCATATGAGCTTGGGTAGTTTTTAGAGCGATCAAAAATAATTGAGCAACAATATCTGACTATCTCGAGAAGAATAATAAGAGAAATAAGCATTTTATATCTTATAAGAATGAATGATCAAATTTGGATATGCTAGTTCTCATGCTTGAAGATTGAATTGATTCTTACGAAAGCTCCTTTAATCATTAGAATGCATGCCTGTATATAGTGGCGAATTCTTTTTATTTTTAAATGTTGGCATAATTAACTATTTAAAAACTCCATCAATATTTTTCATGAGATATTTTTAATTCTAAATTCTAAAATTTAGAAGAGGGCAAAAATTGAGCGTTTAATTAAAAAAATCATTCTAGGAGGAAGTCAGACAAATGATGAACAAAATAAATTAATAAAAAAAAGAAGGTTCTAACACAGTAAAATTTGATTTGTTTTTCTAACATTCCTTATTCATTGGATTGAAATTTATGTGAAGTGATCTTGCTTTTATGTTTTGAGATGCCACTTTATTGTTAGACTTAATCTTCAATGCATAGGGATAAATCTTTTGACATGTTACCTTATGCTGTTTTGTAGTCAGAGATTTGGAGAGATAGCTTTTTGTGCTATTACAGCTGATGAACAAGTTAAAGGCTACGGCACAAGGCTGATGAATCACTTAAAACAGCATGCTCGTGATGTTGATGGGCTAACACATTTTCTTACTTATGCAGACAACAATGCCGTTGGGTATTTCATAAAGCAGGCATGATGCGAGCTTTCTTATATGTTGCTTTCCTAAATCTTTTATTAGTTTGGACTTGCAATCAGTTCAAATGATAGGTTGGTTTGTTTTGAAATATCTATTAATTATGCCCATTGGCCTTTTTGTTTTTATTTTGTTGTTTTCTTTTTTATATTTTTAGTCTGGCTTAAAACAAAAATATGTTTGGATACATATTTATTTTCTATTTATAGACAAAATAGAAATTATGGTTGGCAACCAAAATAGAAACTTTAATCAATATATATGCAATTAGAATAATTAAACCTCTTTTATTGTGAAAGAACTCCTTGGTAGAATTTTTGACAATGAAAAAGAGAATGATTAGGTTTTATGTTTTGCAATCTCATCCTTGATTTAGTTCTGGATTGATCATGGCAATTGGAGGTTAGCCTATTTGAAATATGCCTAGGAATTTCCCGAGTGGCTGAAAGCTGCCTGTGTACCCATTTTTATTTCTTGTTAATCTTATTCTTCTCCTTTTTTTTTTCAATTTAATCTATATTTCTTCTACATAGTTTGTTACTTTGTAACTTGTTGCGATCAGCACGTATTAATTTAAATTGATCCAATGAAGTGGTAGCCGATTTTAGGGATACATGATTATAACTTCAGTATTTAAGGCATGCGTTAGTCTTTCATTTACTTAGTAATTTTTATGCATACACTCAATATTGTTTGCTTGTTGGATGTGAGATTCCTTCAAGTGCAATAAGCAACATCTGAATATTATCTCCTTTTAACGATGCAGGGTCTAGATTTTCTACATTTTTGGTATTTTTTTTCTTTATCTATTTTCTATTGAAATATTTTTATTCGCTTTACTAGAGTTTTTTTATTTTGGCTAAATTTGATGCAGTTGAGATTTTAATTACGTTATAGAAATTCAATTGTTCATTGACTTTTATGTTTTGAATTTCTTGTTGAGTTCTTCAAATTTAATTGAATAATGCATTATCATTTTGTTTGCACATAAACAAAGTGAGTTTTTATGTATATAGTGGTCTTTGATTGTGAATATAAATTTTTTTGTGTGATGTACTTTCATTGTATCATCCTATATCACCATCCCGCATCAAATGTTAACTGTGATTGCTCATTTTGTCTGCCAATTCAGCCTCAGTAGTTGTTCAATTGTAACCAAACTGGGTTCCTTAAAAATCCAAATATGTCCTTTTGCCCTGCGGCAGTCTAATTTCTCTAGAGTTCTTGAACATAAACGCCCAACTTTTTTTTTTTTTTTTTTTTTAAATTTCTATTCAATGCAAGGAAATGAGAATAGTTTTCCAATCTGTTTCGAAAAAATCTATCTATCTGTTTTCCAACCTTTTACAATTCTCTTCATTATTGAAGCAAGTCTTTCACCACTTTGTCAGCCCTGTGTTTCCTTGTTAACTCTTTGATTCCTTGAAAGAATAAGATTAGGAAGAAAAAGAAGAAGAAACTTTTTCTTCCCCTTTTCTTCTTAACCTTTCATCTCATTTACTAAGGAAATGCTCTGAGTGGTTGCTGGCTGGCATGGTTTAGAAGGATAGATTGCACTTTTCTGTTTCTATACTATACAGAGATGTGGCTGCATGCTTGATTAACTTTTTTTCATTTCAATATGTTCATGAGAGCATTTTAACTTCTTCATGACCATCATAACTAATTTTTGTTGTGTACTTGGTGTTAGGGGTTTACGAAGGAAATTTCTCTTGAGAAGGAAAGATGGCAAGGGTATGATATTCTATTTTGGACACTTCAATGATCATTCCAGGCCCCTGAATGGTTCTTTCTTTCATTCTATTTTCCCTGAAAAAAATGTTCTTTTTTTGTTTCAGATTAGGTAGGCACCATCAATTTGAAATTTTAATTGTTCTTTTCTTCAGCTGATAACAATCTATTTTTTTATTTAATATGTCAGTTATGAACTATGAGATAGATTATACCTTAGAAGTCTGAGTTGATTTAAGGGCTTGAGTGCCTTTCATGGATTAAATTTTTCTTTAAGTTATCTTGAGAGCTTCCCAGGGTTAGTTTCTAAAAGCCAGGTGGTTGAAATAGTTGAAAAAAAAGTTGGTTAGTTTCTAGCAAACTGCTGTGGAAAATGCAGATCAATCGAGTAGATTACTGCTGCAATATAAGGAAATTAAATGTAGAAAAATGATTAAACAACAGAGAACCTGATGAAAGGATAATACTTGAAGCAAGAATAGTAGAATTTCAGGCTTAGGACTTACATTCTTTAGGTGATTAAAATAATCTAGCAACCGCAATAAAAATTTGGTAGATGAAAATAGTTATTTGGCCTTTTCACAAAATATGCCGGCAGCCGTTAACATCAAAATAGAAAACTGAGAACCTGATCGGGGTTGTTCTTGCACCACTGAATCCAATATATGTTGATTGAATTGCTTTTTGGATTCAATATTTTCATTTCCCTGGCATGCTTCGAGGCAGTTCTTCCCAGGAATGAGGATACGTTGAGTTGAAATCAAATCAGAATACTTGGAACACATCAAGATTTCATCACCCCGTGAGCATTGGTTTTTGAACATCCTGCAACATCGAGCTTATTCAGATTTTTGGAAGCTGTATTTCTTAGACAGCTGCAGTAAAGCTGTAAAAGGGTAACCAAAACTTCTACGGGATTAACTTATTCATTGGGGCATAAACGTTCACTAGAATAGGTTGGGAGGACTTGACAAAGTCTTGAACTCCATTATGCCCACTCCGCTTATTCAGATCTATGAGAATTTACATTAATGGGAAGTCCTGCATAGCTCTTGAGAACATTGATTTTGAGACAATCAAATCATTTCCATCCTCAATTTTCTCTTTTAAAGGTATCAATACTACCTTCTGGTAGTCCTTTTGTTCTAAGGCATATGTTTTTTGGTACCTGTCTTGGTTAGCATACTGTGATACTGCTTGTGTTTTCCTAAAAGTAAATGACATGCATCATGCAATTTTGACCAATAGAGAATTGTAATAAATATTATTTTCAAACATTTATTTCAATTTTTTTGTTTAACTAAGATAGCTTTTAAGGCTCTAGATGATATTGTGTAGGCAGGTTTGATTTTTTTACCATATTTTCACAACTTTCACAATCAATGATAAGGTTGCACGCTTTTTCTGCACCGTACACCTTTTATGAAAATTGTTGTGGCAGAGCTATTCTGATTCTTGGTCTATAGATTTGCCTAGAACATATCGAAAAATAAGCTGTCCATCATTAACATATACTAGGTGCTTGGTGTCTTCTACTTCATTTTCATCCTCAGGTAAGGCTTCTTCAGTTAGGACTCAAAATGGTGATTGGGGTAATTTAATGTAATGTGTTGAAATCTAATCTTTTGAAGCATTTTATAAGTGAATTCTTAGTATGAAATGTGCTAGCCTTATTGTTTCCAGATGCTTGGGAACGGTTGGGAGTATTGTTTTCTTGCGGTACATGGGGTGCGTCATCATGGGCTTCCTTACCAGTTATATGTAGTTCTTGTCCTAAATCAAAAGCAAAGTTCTTTAGCATTGGATTGTTGTCGTTCTATTCTTAGAGTTAATTTATTGACATCAGATATCATTCAATACTGTTGATTTGTACGATGCAATTATGAGACAAATCAAAAAATGAATCAGGCAATGGTGTTTCCCTCAAGTTTAATATATCGCATTTCAACACCAATTATTCGAATTTAGCTATATATTCTTCTATAGACAAACTTCTTTGTGGAAATTATGAAGTTTAATAAAGACATCTTGCTTGAAATTCCATGGCAAGTATTTTTACTTAACTTTTTTATTTTCTCCGATGTGATAATCTTATTCTTACTCTCTTTAGCCATTGTTTGTTTAATATTCTCATACTGAATGCATGCAAATTCCTTTAACTAGATGGACACAATTTTTACCTATATAATGATAGGCATATCTTTTTATTCAAATACGTGCTCTATTGTACATCTTTGTTGTTGTTGACATGCTCTATTGTATGTCCTAAATCTATGAAGTCCTCAAAATTTAGCCCATCCTCAAAATTTGGGATCCCTATCTTAACCCCAAAAATCTTGGTAACGTCTTATTGATTCCCTTCTAACACAAGGTTCGTCCTCCTTGGATGATTCTTGAAATGCTTGATTGAAATGGTTTTCCATCTTGCGATCCACTCAATGGCCATCTTAGTGGGATAGAATGGAGTCACGTTCACGCCTCTCACACAACGTCAGTTTATGTTTGAATTGTTTGATTTCATGTTGTAATTCTTCTATGGTTATCAGTTGGTTTTGGCGGTGTTAGTTTCTCCTAGGTGTTCTCCTAAATCTATTGTTTTAATACCAAAATTTGGCGTTAATTATGTGCATGGAAGTTAAATAGTTTACATTCAACGGTTTGAAAACCAGCAAGTGATCCAAAAATAATGTGAAATACAATATATAAAATTCTAACACCAATGCAGAAGGAAGTGTTTAAGAAGGTTTTACAACAATTACTCAAGTTGCCCAATAACAACTTTTTTCTTAATTCTAGCCAGGGTCCTTGTCGTGCAGTTTCCATTTGTTTTAACCCAGCTAGTTGCATTTCTAATATAGCCGACAGCTTCCCAAAGTTAATCTTCTAAAAGCCAGGTTGCTTGCTTTAAGGTAGTTAAAATGGTTGGATTAAAAAAAAAACAGGTTAGTTGTGTTCCAGCAACCTACAGTGGAAAATGCAGATCAACAGAGTAGATTAGTGCTGCAATATGAGGAAATTAAATTTAGAAGAAAGATTAGAGTATAGAAAACCTGATAAAGGATAATAATTGTATCAAGAATTGGAGAACTTCAGTCTTAGGGATAACCTTTATAGGTGATTCAAAGAATCCAGCAACATGTAATAAAAATGAAGTAGAAAGAAATAGGTAGTTTAATGTTTTTGCCAATGTTTTAAAAGGCGAAATCGGGAATCGAGGCATTTTGGCTAAGCGAGGCGAGGCGTAAGCCTTGAGGCAGATCGAGGCGTAAGCCTAAAAAATTATAAAAATAAAGACATTTAAAATTATGAATAATGACAAAAATGTAAAAAAAAAAAATATTACGTCAATTGTGAATTTGATGATTTGTTCTAAGATAACATTAGTATATTACTGGAAAAGAAGATTTAAAATAAACTCACTTAAAAATAAAACATCCCTTTAGGATCAAGACCCAATGCAGGCTCATCATCACTTTGATTTTCTTCAGAAGAATCTTCATAATTAATGTCAAAGTCATCCTCAAACTCTTCTTCATCTATAATATTTTTT